GGAGGATTCTGTCACCACGGCACGGAACGCTTATACATTTCCGAGAGGCGGTTTCCGGCCACTGACCGGCACCAGCCTGTGCTTGTGCACTCAGCTGCGTGGCCCTAAGCAGATAACTGGTCAACCAGCCACGGGACACGTGGAACAGCCCACCATGCAGCCCGAGAGAGGCAGTGACACAGGAAGGAGACCGAGACACAGAGGAAAAAAGAAAGGAGTCAGTCTGGGCCCCTGAGCTCTGTGGGGCCTGGGGGAGGCGTCACCAGCACCGACACTCGACAGAGGGGCCACCGAGCATGCGCAGAGGGAGCTGCCCCTCAGGCCGTGGATGTCTCTCCAGGAGAGTCACCGTGCGGGATCTCCATCTTCTGAAACATGTGACTTCTGTATAACGCACATACAGTATTTCTGTAATCTGGGGGGGTGTGGGGGCGGGTAATAGGAGAAGAAAATTCACGGAGGCCAGGGTCTTACAGCTGCTGTAGGAACGCTTGTGCTCTCAAGATAAACTCAGGACTGCGAGATCCTGGGAAGCTGTTTGAAAGGTTAACTGGTTTGTGAAATGCATTTTGTCCCAGGGTCAGTCAGCGGCGTGGTACCAAGTGCACGCCCTCTTGGCGCTGGGCAGACCCGGGGACACCCCCACGCCCTCGGCTCTCCCTTCAGGCTCCCTCTGCTTCCTGAATCCCAGAGCCGAAATCTGGGAAGGAGGGGCTCCCTGCGTGTGGCAGGACCCCAGGGCTGGGTGCTGCCCAGAAGGTACACACACCCGGGAAACGTCACCAGGGAACCTTCGGGGCACCCGCACCCCCTGATATGTGCCTGAGAGCCGGGAAAGGCCGCCCCGTGGAGACAAGCACTGCCGGACGAGCCGTTCAACCTCCTCTCACCATTTTAAAGCCAGAAAAACACCCTGGCACAGTTTTAGGCAGAAGGAAAAATATAAAGAACATGGAGGGCGCTCCAATTTTATTTCTACCAAGTTTTTGGACGCGTGTGTGTGGGTGGGGCTGGGGGGTGGTTGTGAGGCCACAGATACAGGTACGAAAGGAAAATGGTCTCAGGTGATGCAGAAAGCGTGAGGCTCCTGGACCAGCCACGCAGGGGTCCCAGCTGTGCGTGGTTTAAGCCCCTGGGAAGCACACCCCTCCCCAGGTTACACAGGGAACATGGGAAACGCTGCGGCTGGAAACCCTGAAGCAGGATAAATCACTCTCAAGGAAGGAGCCAGAGTTTGCCAGAAACATAAAAGCGCTCTGACTAACGCCAAGGACCCCAAACTCGAAAGACACCCCACGCTGGAGCGGCGGGGCGCGAGTGCAGACTGCAGCCCTGCGGCAGCAAAGCACAACCGGCCGCAGAACCGCCTGGAGACCACGGTGAAAAGTGGGGCAGGCTGTGACGGCGGCGGCTCGATTTCTGTCTCATACGACGGTCTGCTAAGCGGTGCCAAATCTCACCAGACAAATCTCTTTCGCTTTTGGTCTCTGTGCTGGAAAAATCAAGAAAAGCCTCCCTTGAGAAACAGCTTCTAAAATCTCCCTCCGAGCAAAACCCAGCTGCTCCCTTTGGTGCCGGGCCTTGCCTCCGGCTGAATTTCTGCAGTTTTTGTAAAACTCTGACTCTAAGGAGCACTTTTTAGACTGGCCTCCTTTTTTGTAAAACCCAGGAAAATGATTAACCAATTTCTTCTTTCCTAAACACACTTCTTTGCAAGATGAAAAAAAAAAGCTCAACAAAACACTGCGTAAGATAGCAGAATTCTTTTCAAAGAGACTTCATTCACCTTCTGGGTGGAGCACTTCGGGGCAGGAAAAAACCCCTGTACACACCCACACGCCACACACCCAGCCCTTTGACCAGGGAAGAGGGAGGGGGGCGGGGGCGGGGAGGGAGGGGAGGGCAGCCGTTTCCAGGGAGAGGTTCCTACAGGTACAGCCACTCCCCACATCTTGGCAAGGAGGGGGGCTCAGGGCTGGAGAAAACCAGCTCCGGGGAGGAGACCGCCCTGCACCCCGAGGTCTGGGAGCCGCCGGAGGAGCTGGCCAGCGGAGCAGTGGGCCAGACACACCCAACGAGGGTGGCAGCAGCTGGGCGCCCAGTGCCAGCACCCCTGCCCTGCACCCCGCCGCCTGCATCCTCGGGGACCAGCTCCTCCTCGCAGCTCCCTCCCGAGCTGGACGCAGGGAGGGCGATCTCTCAGGGAGGGAAGGGGAGCAGAGCTGTTTGTAAACACGCCGGCTCCACCCCCACGGCAGCAGTGGAGGAAAAGGATCCGGGCCAGCAAAACCTCAAGGGCCTCTGAGGTTTCTAGGCGCACAATCGAATCCTGCAGCACTAAGACACACGAATGTCAACAGAAATCCTTCTCTGTGACACCCAATGAAAGGCCAAAAGTGCAAGAGCCAGGCTCAAAGGTACTACTTTCTCTGCAAATACGTCCTGTCGGGTGAAATCAAGAGGCCAGCACCCCTGGGCAGCGCTCCCAGCAACCCCCTGGCCCCAAGAGAGGAGCAAGTTAAATATAGACCCGGCGCCTGCCTGAGCCCAGGACGCCACCGAGGTTGCGCCGGCGACACCTGCTTAATTCTGCTCTGTGAAAATTGCTCCTCACTCTGTCCCACCACCGCCTCCAAAAACACGAAAGCAGCTGCCGCTGCAGGGCTCTGCTCCCCGCCCTCCACCGGCTGGCGGCGGTTCCCCTTTAGAATGTTACTAAGAAATATATTTATCTTATGAGGACCTCCAGGTACAAACCAAAACATTTCTCTTTCCTAAAAAGCATCTATGTGGCTGGATTAAAAACTGATTATTAACAACCCCATGCGAGTCTAAGGCTGACCCGCCCCGCCCAGCATGGGACCCCCCTCACCCCCAGCTCGGGAAACACCCGCTTCAAGGTGCTGCTGGGTAGAGGTGGTGGGGCGTAGAGGCTTGCCATCAGCTTCGCTGAGACAGAATTCACACATGGTACAACTCACCTCTTTAGAGTGTACGATTAGGCGGCTTTCAGTGTGTTCAGAGCTGTGTAACCGTCCCCCAATTACAGAATATCTCCATCACCCCAGAAAGACCCCGTGACAGTTGGCAGTCACTCCCTCGAGCCCCCAGCCCCTGACAACTACTCATCCACCTTCTTTCTCTACAGACCTGACTATTCTGGACACCTCGCAGCCGTGGAACCACACGACATGCGGTCCTCGGGGACTGGTGTCTCTCACTCCGCATCGTGGCTTCAGGCGTCAGCCGCGCTGGACCAGGCGTGGGCACGGCATTCCTTTCTCTGCCTGGGTGACACCCTGTCCTGGGCTAGCCCACATTTCTGTCCCCGCTCAGTGCTGCTGGACATGGGAGCTGTTTCCACTTTGCGGGCTACTCTGAGTAACACTGCCACCCCTCAACCCAGGACGAGTTTTCCTGGAGACCTCACCTCCCAGGGAGTGGCCGGGCCGTGCGCTAACCCTTTACCACTCTGAGGAACTGCCAGACTGTTTCCCAAAGCGGCCGCATCCTTCTACTTAACACACGGTATTTAATCTGTGCAGAAATCACATGCATACACGTACACGTAGGAGCACTTGGGCAGCACACCACCACGGTGCCCTCACACGGGGCACTCGTGTTCTAGGTGACTAAACACCACAGTGCGTGCACGTGTGGCTGAGTGCAGGCCCTGGCGCACCGTGGGTCCTGAGTCAGTCACTGCTGCTCCTCGTTGTCACAGACAACCAGGACATCAGACAGCTGGCGCTACCCCCGGGGAGAGCCAGGCTCGAGGAGGCTGCAGAGACCTGCCCCCCGAGGCTCCCCAGAACCAGAACTCAGGACCCAGACTTGAGTTTCAGGCCATCCCTGAACTTTGTCTCCCTGGCCCTGGGGCAGACGACTCCCAACCTGTCACTTACACGTCAGGGTCCGAGACAAAGGGCGGAAAGGAAACTGACAGTGATGCCAAGACCAAGTGACACCTGCTTCTAAATGTAATCAGGACCACGAGCCTGGTGGGTGAGCAGAGCAGGGAGGCTCAGGGGACAAAGTCCCTGCCGGAGAAGCGCTTCTCAGTGTGTGGTTCCTAGAGGCACCCCAGGCCCCTGAGACCCTCGGGGGGGTACATGAGGTCAGAACCCTCTTCATAATGGCATGGAGACCCGGCATGCCTTTCCCACCCGGCTGACCTATGACAACGCCCAGTCGTGGTGGCGAGGTGGGGCTGTGGCGGGGACCCAGCCCCAGCCCCAGCACCAATTGTGCGGGTGCCCTGGCGTCTTTGGGGCCACACACATGCAGTAAAGGTGGGGGGAAAAGCCAGTTTCATTTTTAAAAATGTCCTTAATGAAGCAGTAAACTATCTGCAAGTTTACTAAATCTTGATCCTCAGATACACACTGTCGACATGCTTCACGACAGGCGGGGAACACACAGGACCCCTGCCGGGGGCCGAGGGCAGACAGCCCACCCGGCCACCGCCCCATGGACTCCACTACACGCCACACCCCGAAACCCCCCGAGGGCCCCCCCCACGTGACACACCAAGGATGAGAAACTATGAGGACCTTCCTCTCTTTAAAACCTAGATAAACGTCTAAAACTCCACCAGGCTGATTCTACAAATACAGCTTAGAGAACAAAACCCATCGAATCCTGGTCTGCAGATGCTAACTTTTAAATATCTTCATTGTCTTTAGAAAATGATACTTGTGCTTGCTTGAAAAGACCCTAATCTACAAAATTTCAAGCTGGAAATGTGGCTAATTAGACCCCACACATTCTGTAAGAGGATTCCCAGGGGCTCTAGTTAAGCAGTCAGGTCCCTGATGCACTGAAAATAGTTTCAAAATTTCCCTCCACGTGAAGTTTTCCAGAAGCGCACTTCAGGCTGAATGAGATACAGAGCACCTGTACCTTTTTCCTGTTTCTCACACAAACTTGCAGAGCCCAGGGGCCCTGATTCCGCAGACGAAACCGTGTGGCCCGGGGACAGGCTGGCCCGGGCCCCTCACCTGATGGTGCCGGTCGGGGAAGGGATGGGGCTGACCAGGCTCCGGAGGTCCGGCTCCGGAATGTGGATCTTCAGGGGGGAGATGTGTGGGTGCAGCGGCCGGAGTGGGGACGCTGGGGCCTCTTCCTGACGGTACAGGGACGTGAACTGGATCTTGATCGCCGTGCTGGGGAACCGGAGAGTGCACCTGCAACGGGAGGGGAGCGGACGTCAGGCCAGGCGGGGGAGGCTGGTGTCCGTCAGAGGGGCGGCCCAGTCCATCTGAGCGACCGCAACCGCATCACGGGGCCCTCACGCCTGCTCTGCGGTGCCCACGTGCCCAGTGGCACCTCTCCCGCTTCCGTGAGGACGTGACTGACACGGGCACCTCGTGTGTGAACAGCAGAGACCCACGTCCCCAGATGGACCCCCGTGCCGTCATCTCCGACACAGGCTCCCAACGCGCAGCGCTCCTCCCGGCCGCTAGGATGGCGGCTCTCGCACCACGTTCCTGCGCCTCGCGGACGCTGGCTGGGAAGCCGGAACGCCGCGGTCACATTTAGGCAGCAATTTTAAAGGCAGGCGACGCCCTTGCCACACAGAAGCCATAGAGCAAACGATGACAAGGCAGTGGCCCGACCCAGACACATGCTGGCAGGGGTCTCAGAGCGCAGGCCGTCACGAACCTGGAGTCAGCGGGCTGGCTTCCCAGCTCGTTCCCGCCTCGAGAATCACGAGCCTCGTTTCCTCACTGGCAGGTGTCTGCCCACCGCAAAGCCATTGCGGGCCGTGGCCTCACGCACCCACCACTCCCTGTGTGCACAGGAACCCAGGGCTCGTCTCCCTCCGAGAAACTTCCACCTGTAACGTTTGCATGCCTTCTAATCTCCAAACTGACATGTCACCTACGAGCTGCCACCGTGGTTAGCAGACACTTGGTCCAGGCCCAAGCTTCCTGGTACTCGGTCCTGCCCAAAGCAGTCCAGGGTCTTAGAAGCCGATCTACCTCCAGACTCCCAGGGACCCAGCTAACACCCCTTCATCTGAACTCTCTTTTTCTCCTAGGAAAATAGCGTTTAAGAAATGGGATTTAAGAACAGGTCAGAACAGGCTCTGGGACCGGGGCCCCCAGCTCATCGACGGGTGTGCCCGGCAGCCTCCTGCTGGGGAGACCCACCTTCACGAGATGACTCAGCACCGACTGCCTGCATCTCACAGAGCAAATCAGGAACTCCAACTGGCTTGACTGGCCAGTGTGGATTCTTCCAGAGATACCAGAGCAGAGGGGCTGGATGCGGCCATGAGGGCGGAGCCCTGCAGCCACTGGTGAGGCACCCAGATGCCGGGGGCCCACAGCAACTAGGTTTATATTTCCAATCTAAAATAAAAAGAAAGGGCTCTGGATACTGTTTCAGCGGAGGCTGTTTCCTTGTTTCATGCTGTTTTGAGTCTGGGAAATGCAGCCTCCACACCAGCACCCTAGGGCTGAGGGTGGGGGTCTGTAAAGGCAGCATCACTCCTGCAGTCCTGCTCGGAGGGCCACCCTAGGCTGTTTGAAAGCAGCCTGTGTTTTCTTGCTGGAGGCCGCAGTGGAAGAAACGCCCTTTCCACTTTCTTCAGTTTCCCCACAACCCAGTGGAAATCTCCTCCATCGGTGCCTTGGCTAGGAAGTTACCTTCACATGCTTTCCCGAGATGCTCTCCGAGGCCGACGGGCTCTCCAGACCTGGAGGCCGGTCAGCTTTTGTAAGTCACAGTCAACACGCATCCCCACCCGCCCGGGACGGGCCAGGGTCTCTGAGCCTGAGGTCTGGCCCAGGGCTTCACACAGGTGAGCTGAGCGAGGCCAAGGTGAGCGCCACCTGAGGATGGCGGGACTGGATGAACAGCGGGGCGTCTGCGCGCGCCCACGCACACACACAAGCTCTGCCGCACGATGCCAGGGGCTCGCGGAGTCCGTGGAAGCCCGTGCTAACCGGAGGTCTTACTACGACCTGGAGATCACGCTACAGCTACAAACATCAAGGCCAACTAGAAGCAGGATGTGGCTTCTGCTCTGTGACGGAGGTCACAAGACAAGAGGGGAACTTAGAGAACGGGTTTAGGGTGAAGACGAGGAGGGCTCTGCTTGGGGGTCAGAGCCTGTCGGCCCTGGGGGGTGGGGGCCCTGGGGAGCACCTGTCTCAGCGCCCCCGCACCCCAGCCTGATGTCAGCCTTCATGGCCGGAGACTTGCCCACGAGGGGGGCCAGGGATTCTAGGTGAAGGAAGTCGGGTGCTTCGGGGCCCCAAGCCCTCTGCAGGCCTAACAGGAGGGGTCCTCTGGGTAGGAGAGATCCACTTTAAAGTGCTTTCCAGCGCAAATCCAAGGTGCTCAACAGTCCGGGCACACAGACTCGGGTTTCAGTGAAACAAAACTGCCAGCTGGGGATCCTGGCAGGTCGGCGGCAGCAGCATCGACCGCCCTCAGTACCGGTGCCAGCAGGGTGGCCTCCTCCCGGAACAGCGACCTCCCAGCCAAGGCTTCACAGTCCACACCTTCACTTTCAGCTATCACAGCTATTTCAAGAGCATCTCCTGACTCACTCTTCCAAAAATTACCCCGAGGCAGTGGCCCTCCTGCCCAGGAGGCGGAGGAGAGAGCACCTGGAAGCTACTTAATTTTAAACAAATTCCTCCCCAGGTGCCTGCGGAGTCTGCCGATGATGTCCCTCCCCGCGTTATTTCTGTTCCGGTTTGAGGCCCCAAGCTGGAGTTTCTGTGCGGGTGCTTCGCCTTAAAGTTGCTCTCCTGAAGGTGCTGTGTGTTCAGTCTGAACCCAGGCACACACGCGCCCGCGCTGCCCGCGGTCCCTGCTGAAAGGAGGGTGGGCGCTGGGAACCACGGCCCGCAGCACCCACCCTGCGGGCGGGGTCAGGGGTGAGGGCACAGCCAGTAGACCCCGGGGCTGGGGCGACAGCGGAGGGCGTGGCGGTTCCCTGGGAGGGGGACCGTGGCCGCTGCACAACTCTGCGGACCTACTAACCACCACTGACTTGAACAACCCAAATGGTTGATTCTCCGTCAAACTGTCTGTTGAAACGCTCTTGCCCTAAAGATACCCTGTGCTCGGCCGGGCTGCCGTCTGGGGCTTGGCCAGGGCGCCCAGAAGCTGGGACTCCTGGAAGTTGGGCCAAACCAGTACCACCCTGGTTACCTGCAAGGTCACCCTGTTCAGTATCAGGTCACAGATCCCGGCACGAAGGCTGGTCTGGCCTCGCTAACGAGCCTCAGGGACTCAGGCTGCACCCACCTGCACTCCGGCCCGCCCTCAGCGGGAATCCCACCGCCCGCCCCACCCCCGGGGACGTGGTCAGAGGGTAAAAGTCATTTCTCTTCCATCATTTACTCCTCACTGACGTAAACATACCTACAGTACACTTCATTTTAGGTACAAGAAATGATCAGAGAAAGAAAAAAGTGCACGTGAAAGCTTCCAGGAAAGACTAAAAAAAAAATGAATGCAGCAGACCATCCTCTGCAGAGCCACCACCGCCCCAGCCCCACACCGCCCCCTCCAGCCCCGCACCTGAGGGCTCACAGGGAACAACACTCCCCGGGGAAGTGATGGTGGCAGTTCTGCACACCCACCACGACACCCCCAGCCTTCCCAGTGCGCCCTGGCCCAGAAGGATGGCCCCCGTGAAGCCCACTGGGCTAGGGCCCGCCACCGACCACCTAGGCACACGTGGCGGCCGACGAGCCAGGGTGCCTTACTCTTAACAGTGGACAGACGGCCAGAAAGAAGAGACTTTGGGAGTGTCTCCAACAGAAAGACAGGGACCAAATGCCGGGGAGGACTCTGAGGAAGACAGTCCAGGAGCAGGACAGGATGTGGACCACCTGTATGTCCCGGGGTGAGAGAGGGCACCGTCCCTACCACCCACAGACGAAGGCACCTCCAGGGAAAAACAAGGCACCTGGACAATTAAGCGTGACACAAAAGAAAACTTCCAGAGGAACGCTGGGTAACAGGTTTGAAAACATCTCCTGTAAAAGATGGAGAAAACACAAGAAAACTGGAGCTCAGCCAGTTGAACAGCTGAACGAGAGTGACTCTGCAAGGATGCCCCTTCTCTGGCAGCTGCAGGAGGAGGCTGGGGTCCTGAAACCTGGCCCAGGGCCCCTACGCGGCCACCCTGCCTCCTGACCATCACAGAACTGGTGCCGGCGGGGGCTGCCGGTGCCGTCACACAACCTGAACACAGGGCGCTGCCACACGGTCAGGAGCCGAGGACACAGATGCTGCAGGGTGAAGTCTGGCCACCTTCCCTGTGCCGGGGCAATCAGTCCCCCGCACTCCCTGAGCGCGGACCCCGTGTGCCCAGGACCTGCTGCCACGTGCTGCATGCTGGACCAGGGGCACCAGACCGGCATGGGACAGGGAATAGATTCCACCAGCCTGCAGCCTCGGGAGGCCTCAGAGGAGCCATGACGGCAGAAAAGACAAGACCAGGGTTTTCAAGAGTGAAACCCGTCCCTGGGGGCCTGGCTGTGCATCTCACCCAGGGACATGACGGAGCCAGTGCGCCAGGAGACTCTGCTGCCCAGTGTGACCATCCCATCCCCACCTGCCTGGCCCGGGCGGGTGGACAGAGATTCTCCCATCAGCAGACACAGGGGCTGCCAGGCGGGTCACCATGGAACCTGCCCCTTTGGGGGTGCCAGTGACAGTGCTGTCTGCTCCTCTCTCCTCCAAACAGGCACGGTCATCTTCCTTGGCTCCTGCTCCACACAGCATTTTATGGGGAGACCACCTGGAGCACCCGGTGCAGGGACTTGCTTGTAACAGAGATCCTGGATTCGGGAAGCGGTCACTGGGTGGGATGTGGGCTGCCTCCTTTGACGACAGGGATGAGTGGTTTTTATGTCTGAAGAAGGGTCATAGATATGTGGGCGGCCAAAAGAGGGGCTTGCTCCTGGACATGCACCCGCTCCTGCTTCAACAGTGAACTAGCTTCAGCTGGACACATGGCTGCCCAACAAAGACGACGCTTCTCTTTCAACCATCAGACTGTGCTGGTCAATGGGACGTGAATGGTAGTGCTCTTAAGAGGAAGAGAGTGTCTTCCTCCCTTCTTTCCTTCCCAATGGCCAGAATGTGGGTGTGATGGCAGGAGCTGGAGCAGCCACGGTGGGCCTTAAAACGGACAATGGGTAACAGAGCAACAGAGCAGAAAGATACCACACTGGGACGCAAAAGAAATCCACCTCACCCTTGCTATTCTGACCTTTGTTACAAAAACCAAGACTACATCCTAATTCTAAGCAGCTGAAGAGCTCCCTGCGAGGAAGGGCTGAATGAACCAGGGTACACATTCATGGAGGAACATTATGTGGCCATTCAAGGGGACACCTTCCGATACTGTGTATCTTTGGGCAAATCTTGGCTCCAATCTCTCAGTGCATCAGCTCTGCTGTCCTCCTCAGGGACAGCGGGTATTTACGGTGTGCACTTCACAAGGCTCTTGTATGAAATGAAAAATTCCAAGCATAGTAATTAGAAGCATGCACAGTCTCTGACACATGGTGAGTACTCACTGAAACTGGCCCATGAAGGAACATTAAAAAGTGCTGATGACACCCTAATAAATAAAAACAGCAGAGACCAAACGGTCGTGTTGCGGCTAAAGGTGTGGGATTTGAAATTAGACAGACCAGGCTTGAGAACAGGCCGTTGGGACAGTGTGAGGAGACCTAGGGAGAGTGGCTGAACCTTACTGGTAAACCCGAGCTGGGCAGGCAGAAGCCCTGATGAGGGACCCAGACTCGGAGCGAGGCGGGCACCTGTCACACAGGGACGGGAGGGAGGGGTGAAAACAGCCCCCGGGTGAGGGCAGGATTACCCACTCAAGGCCTCGCTTCTTTCAAAATGCTCTTTAAATGTTGTAACTGTATCCTTTTAGAAATGAAAAACTCAAGAATAGGAAAAAAACAAAAAAAGCTGCCACACACTCGATGACTAGTATTTTCAAATTTTGCAAGGTGTGACGAGGTGTCTT